GAGCTCTCTGGTAAGGATCAGATGGCAGCAAGGGATTCTTGTCATGCCACACTTCATCTATGTACTGAACAATGATAAGGGACTCGCAAACAGGCTTTCCATTATGAATCAGAACTGGGATTTTCTTGTGAACAGGGTTCACCTCAAGAAGAAGTGGGCTCTTGTTAGCCAAGTCTTCTTCTTTGTTTTCATACTCGATGCCTTTTTCGGCCAGAGCAACTTGGACTCTCATGCTAAACATGCTCCCATATGTACCCAACACAACCACCTTGTCACCGGCCATATTTTCAGATGATATTCGAGCAAAGCAAAAAAAAAGAAAGGATTTTTTCGCTAGAGGTGATGAAAAGAAAGCTGAATTATGGGCAATAGTAGCAGTTTGTTAGCAACTAGCAGGTATAAGAACCGGGGTCTTGCATTTTATAGTGAATGAGAGGCTGGTGATGGCAGCATGAAGGAATAATGGTTGGTAAGTGGTAGATTGTACCAGGACACTTGGGTCCTCTGCCCTTCAGCAATTTAGGCCACAAGTCAAAATGCAGGTTTTTTTTTTCAAGCAGTAGGGATAGGATTCAAAGGTAAGGGAAGGAAGATTAGAACCAGAATTTTTAAATCTTGAGAAAATGAAGGGTCTCTTTTTCATGTGTTATTAATTAGATCTTTTTTGACTCTTTAATTTTTTTTTAAGATTCTTGAAAGCCACTTTAGGAATTTACAACCTATACTAGCACATTTTTGTTTTGATATATGCTCAAATTTTTAGCATGTAACTTAATTTACTTTATAATAGTTTGAATACAAAATTAACTTTCCTTTTTCAGTTACTCACTAGAAATTGATAGAAAGTTCACGAGATGAATAATATGTGCCTAATTGCTGTTTACTCACAATTTTGTGGCCTCCCACCAATTGCTACTTTTAAATCCAGTAAGTACTTATCGCATTCATGTGATCTAATGGTTATTCAGCTTTCCTCGATTTCTAGAATTCGATTGCTCCTGTCGATGTATGACCAAAGAAAAAGAAAAGTTGCAACATTGTCTCTACGACAAAATATTAAAACCTTTTTGGCTTGTTATTTTTAAATTTCTCTAAATTTGAATAAATATTTCGAGATAAATACAATGCCATTTGACTGCCGTCCCCAATCAAATCAAAGGTAGTAGAGGATTCTAGAACTCAACAAATAAATATTATTTATTTGTGCTAGAATATTCGTTGTCTAGAACTTGTTCTAGGATGCTTGTCTTGCTTTCTTGTTCCTAATCACACAAAATTACGCGACAATTTTTGTAGTCACAATTCCGCCATTATCTTCTCCATTAATGAATCAGAAGATTCTGGTAATTTTAAGTAAAATTATTCCCATTGCCAGTTATTTCAAACCAAATCAGCGCCCTGGTGGAAATTAAACTGCTAAATATTAAAACACTAACTAAGAAATTAAGGAACAAAAACTTGCGTCCACGGAAAAGGTTATGGTCTCTTTTTCTTGATTGTCTACTTGGTGTTTGCTGCGGCTGGTCCCTAATTATTAGGTTCCCAAGTTTTTAGCTAAGTGCTTACGCAGAGTCTTAAGGAATTTGACGTCACTCCTTAAGTAATCACATTCAAGCTTTTGTCTTTCCCTCTCTCTCGCTCCTTTTTCTGTTCCTGGTTTGCACATTATTTAAGTTCAATAAGAAAAAAATATGAACATAGACAATTCAACTAAACCACGAAAACAAGAAAAGAGTACCCCACCACATCTTATGTCTAAATTGGTCCGGACAATGGGTACTAGAATTAATTTTTTTATATACCGCCAGTATATAATTGTTTATACATCAACAAATTTACATCATATCACATTATATAAATTTAAATTTAAATTTACACTGTTAGCATGTAAAAAATTAATTCTATATATGCTCAAAAGCCATTATTTACCTCTAGCTCTATCCCTTCTATAGGGACAAAAGTAACTCGATCGTAAAGGTCAAAATTATGTTAATGTATCAAAAGGTTGAGTTATGTATATATTTTAAAAATCATAAGGGGATTATATGGTAAAACACTAAATTATAAGTGAGATGTATGGTAAAACATAAATCGTACGGGATTAAAATGTCATGCATATTATGTATATATATTTTAGTCATTTCAACCACTTTAGTTTCTAAATAAGGGTATGATAGGTCACAATTTTGTTATCTATTTTATAATTAATTTCCTCCTATTACCTTATCGAATGTGCATTAATTAGCAGATTTTATTCATTTTTGGCATTTGTGCTTATTGCAGAGAGTTAGAACAAAATATCATAAAAAAGTGCAAATTTGTCAAGTTGTACACCTTCGGGTTAGTCAAATTAATTTTGACGATAGCCAGCAGAAGAGTTGGAGTAGTAAAAGGAAACAAGAGTCCAAACGGAGATGGTATTCCTTATCCAGTGATCAACTGCGCTAGACGAGGAGCAATTTTGGGGGACTCTCCTTTTTCTTCTTTTGGTAGTTTTCAAAAGAGGAGGGAGGTTAACAGAGACTAGGAGTCTTCCCTTTTATTCCCCTTAGTAGCCGGATAGGAAGGAAAATTATGTAGGAAGAGGCGGTCCGACAGCTTTGATTTTTCTTTCTTTTGTTTTCGTACTTTGTCGGCTAGTTCTTCTGGGGGGTTGACTATTCATTGTTTTTGGGGGACTATTCCATCATTTTTTCATTATATTCAATTGGAGGAAAAATGCCTTCACCATTTACTTCGGCAATTTTCCATAGGATCCCCTCGACAGAGATGAACTAAACTTTTATTTTTAGTCAAGGAACAACGGAGGATTTGGTTCAGGTTAAATTGTGAGATCTAACTGATTTTACTTTTTCCTATTATTTTCTAGTATTCGTATATTTCCTATTTTATTTTTTTATGGTTATTGTATTATTCAAGTATCATGGGTCCAGATGTTAGATTAATTCAATAACCTAAAACCAATTAGAGTAATTAAATCTATAATTGTTTAATTATTTTAAATTACTGGTAACTGATATAATCGGGATTATATCAGGGAAATATACCGGCTAATTTGTAAACAACCCTCGTAGCGTGTTGTTTATGTAGAACAGGATTTTTCTAAATCTTAAAGCAATTGCAAAATTGAATTTTACAGTCGTACCTAGGGTTATTTTGCAATTAGGACAATAACTAACGGTCTTACATTAACTATCGATAATTAAGGAGAAATTGATTGTCATCACTTGTTTGACAATTATAACTTGTTTATCAGTTTATATATAGAACTATTCTTGCATCGATGATCAATTAGGAGAACCATTTCCGAAATTGCTTCTTGACTAGAGTTTGTCAAAAACTATTTGAGTTTTTGCAATTTGCCATCTAATTTTTATTTAATTGCAATATTCGATTAGCATAACTTATTGTTAATTTCTATAAAAAAAAAAAAAAACCCCCATTGTTTGTTTGAACTTCAAAAGAGGCAAATATCCCCAATCCCTATGAATTCAACCCTACTTATCACTATCTATAGAAATTATATTTTGTTTGAGCAGACATTTATTATTGCACAGGCTCGACAATCTGTCAATTTTTGGCGCCGTTGCCGGGACTGGTGTTAGTTAAATTCGTTTCTTTTTAAATTCATTTTCGTTTTAATTTTCTGGTACTTTTCTAGTTTATACTTTGTTCTTCTCGTACAGGTGAATTAATTTTCGATCCTAAAATTGAGAAAACTGCACGCCGAGCATGAAAAGAGACCAGACAGCTCAGAGAAGAGCAATCTAGTGCTGCATCTCAAAGACTTGATCCAGAAGTTGAAGCAACAAATTCGTTTGGTGATACTTCGAGTGACTCGGATCAAGAAGAAGTCACTATGGCTAATGCACGAACACTAAGGGTATTGGCTGCGCCTAATTTAAATCAGCAGCCCTTATGCATTACTTTTCCGAATTTAAATGATAACACTCAGTTTGAGTTAAAATCTGGTCTAATCCATCTTTTGTCATATTTTCATGATTTATCAGGTAAGAAGCCTCATAAGCACTTGCAAGAGTTCGATGTTGTTTGCAACATTATGAAACCTTCGAAAATCACGGAAGAACAAATAAAAATGAGAACATTCCCTTTCTCTCTTAAGGATTCAGCAAAAGACTAGTTGTACTACTATCTCCAGGTAGTATCACCACTTGGGAGTAGCTGAAGAAAAAATTCCTGGAAAAGTATTTTCCTGTATCTCGAATTGCAAGTCTGAGGAAGGAAATATGCGGTATCAAGCAACATTCAGGAGAGTCGCTCTATGATTGCTGAGAGAGATTCAAGAAGTTATGTATCAAATTCCCTCAACATCAAATAAGTGTGCAGCTGCTCATTCAGTACTTTTACGATGGGCTACTTTTCAAAGACAAGAATATTATTGATGCTGCAAGTGGAGGGGCGTTGGCGAACAAGACTCCTCAAGAAGCGTAGTTGTTAATTTAAGGAATGGCCGAGAACTCATAATAGTTCGGTATAAGCAAGGATATCTTGATACGCAAAGTGAATGAGATAAAAACATCCTCTATCCAACAGCAGTTATCCGACTTAACATCTTTTGTTATACAATTGGCTATAGAAAATGCACCACAAGCCAATATGTATGGAATTTGCACTGCCATGGGTCGTTCTACAGAGATGTGATTCAAGAAAAGAGTGCGAAGAAAGTAAACATAGCTGGTCATACGCCCGCTACAAGAAAGGCATATGATTCGTACCCTAACATGTACAATCCGGGTTAGAGAGATCACCATAACCTCAATGATGGGGGAAATAGACAATCAAATTTTGCACTGAATATACAGCAAGGGTATCAACAGTAATACCAACCTCGATAGCCACCACTTCCTCCAAGTTCAGGCCCGTCTTTGAAAGAAATGATGAAACAATTAATTACTAGTCAACAAAAGATGAAATCTGACCTATAAAATATAAGGAATCAAATGGGTTATATGTAAGCGATACAGAGTCAGAGTAGTCAGATGGCAATATCAATCAACCGTCTGAAGTCCCAAGTTCACGAAAAATTGCCGTCTCAACCTGAATTGAACCTGAAGAACGTAAGTGCAATGACCTTAAGAAGTGGAAAGGAAATTCAGGGATTCGAACTCGTGACTCCAAAGGACAAGGATGAAGAAAAGATCGAGAAAGAACTTGAGGCAGAGGACATAAATGGCATAAATCCAGCGGTACTCCTTAACCCAATCATTGAACTTAAAGCTAATCCGCTTCCCTTTCCTAGTAGGTTGGAGAAACCAAAGAATCAGGACAAGGAGAAAGAGATCTTGGACGTATTCCGCAAAGTAGAGATCAACATTCCTCTGTTAGATGCAACCAAACAAGTGTTGAAGTATACAAAATTTTTGAAGGATTTGTGCATCAACCGAAGAAGATTGCGAGGAGACGAAAGAGTTATTGTGGGGGAGAACGTGTCAGCGGTTCTACAGAGGAAACTTCCACCGAAGTGCGGAGATCCAAGTATATTCATTATCCCCTGTAAAATAGGTAATACTTTGATTATAAATGTCATGTTGGACCTAGGAACATCAGTAATGTCTAAATCTATCTATACTTCTTCGAACTTAGGTCCGTTAAAAGAAACTAGGATAATAATCCAATTAGCTGATCGAACGAATGCTTATCCTGATAGGTTGGTCGATGATGTGTTGGTTAAAATTCCTAACTGATTTTTATGTACTTAACATAAATAATGATCATTCCCCCGACCCCTTACCTTTGCTATTAGGTAGACTCTTTTTGTTTACAATCCAAAATAAAATTAATGTTAATAAGGGTACCTTATCCATGAAGTTTGATGAAAAAATTATTCATTTCAATACCATTGAGATCATGAAATACCCCTCGAACTCTAATTTTAACTCTGTTTTTTCTATGAGTGCTATTGACTCAGTGGTACAGGAAGTGTTTGAAATTATTGGCAGGGATGAGTTAGAAGTTGTTTTAACCAAGTACCTCGAGTTAAACACAACTCATGAGGAAGAATTGAGTAAAGATCTGAAAAATACAATTGGAGCGTTGCAATCGTTGCCAGTCAAGACGATAAGGTATGAGCTCGCACTTATTTTCGTGCCCAAATCTCACCAAAGGGTATTACCGTCTATGGTGCAGGCACCTGTGTTTGAATTAAAATCTCTACCAAAGCACTTGAAATACGCTTACTTGGGCAAGAAGGAAATGCTTCCATTGATTATCTCGACGCGACTGTTGGAAATCCAAGAAGAAAAACTAATCCAAATTCTTAGAAATCACAAGCAAGCAATAGGATGGACTATCACCGACATTAAGGGCATCAGCCTCTCTGTATGTATGCACCGAATAAGGTTCGAAGAAGATGCCAAATCTATACGGCAAGTTCAAAGGATGCTCAATCCCCTTATGATGGAAGTGATGAAGAACGAAATACTAAAGCTGCTGGATGTGGGGATCATATATGCAATATCAGACAACCCATGGATGAGCTCGGTACAGGTAGTTTCAAAGAAAGCAGGAGTGACAGTGGAGGCCAACCAGAAGGGTGAACTCATGCCAATACACAAATCCACTGGATAGCGGCAGTGTATAGACTACCGGAAATTAAACGTTATCATGAAAAAAGACCATTTTTCACCTCCTTTTATTAACCAAATGATTGAACGATTAGTTTGTTGAATTTACTATTGTTTTTTAAATGGGGTTTTAGGGTATTTTCAAATTGCAATCGCACTGGAAGATCAAGAGAAAACCACCTTCACGTGCCCGTTTGAAACTTTCGTATACAGGCAAATGCCTTTCGGATTGTGCAATGTCCCTGCAACATTTCAGAGATGTATGGTGAGCATTTTTTCAGAATATGTTAAGAAAATTATTGAGATTTTCATGAACGACTTTAGTATATATGGTGATAGTTTTGATAATTGTTTAGATAACTTGAAATTGATCTTCTTGAGATGTATATAAACTAATCTCGTGTTTAATTGAAAAAATCTATATCTATATGTATTCAGGAAGGGATTTTTAGTAGAAACCCTCTCAATGACTTCTAAACTTCTCATTTTTTTTTCTAGATTTTTGTATTTATTTTAATACATAAAATGTAGTGGGTTATAACCCACATTATCACTCATCAATATTCCCACTATCTCACTTCCACTATCCCACTATCTTAACTCATCCTACAACCACTCCTATAAATTCTCTATTCCCACTATCCCGCTACCTCACTCCCACTCTCTCTTAGTTTCTTATTTGTTTTTGGTTCTCTATTCATTTTGTAAATGTATTGATTTTGTTTCTTTTATGAGCAATAGTGGAAGATATTATGTGCAAAGACTTCAGCAAAACTCAACCTTCCTGTGGAGAATTGGAAGTATATTCTTGCCAGTTTAATTTTTTAGGTCGGTCCCTTTGCCTTTTAAGTATGTTTTGCTTTTACTTTGCTTTTTGTCATGAATGGTATTGCATTGATTTTCTGATCATCCATTATTTCTGAAAATTTTTTACAAAATCCTATGAACGGTTGTTTGCTTATTGTTACACTGTACAGCAAAGATAGTCAATAGTAGGATAAAGTATAAACACAAAATCACAATCACATTTCTAACATAATGTATTGCTTGCTTATATAATTGCGGATGGTATAGATTCATGATTGAGGGTTTTACTATTTCTAACATAAATTGTATATTATAAAAATTTATTTGTTTGTATTACTGAATTTTTTTAATTATTTTTTATTGCACATTTATCACATAAAAAAGGTGTTACGATAGTTATTTTCATAATTTTATTCCAAAAATAATCGTGCATGAAATAAAAAATATTTTTTGATAATAAAAAATAATTAAAAATGGTTTATAATTAGAGAAAAACAATTCATATACTACTAATAACTAAGGCACTATACGCCCATTATTAAAATTGGATTAATTTTTAATTTCGTCAGAAATCCTTTTGGCAAAATTGCATTCTAGCTTTTCTTTTTTTTTTATCATTTTCTCTCTACATTGACTGCAATAATTTTCACTTTACTTTTAATGGGTAGGCTTTCAAAATTGGTAGAAAGAGAGTTTATTAGCATTCAAATAACTGTTCTGTGTTACATCTTTTTGAGATGCTAAAGAAGGCATGAAACTTCTTGAAGGATGGTATCCTACTTTTTGGAGTTTGAATCACAATATTACCTTCATTTTTTGTATTTTTGTATTTTTGCATCCACTGGATTAGAAAAAACGTGTCCTTCTAAGCTTGGATTATGTTCAGCAGTGATGCTAAAGACCTAACGATATCTATATGAAACAAAAACCCAAGGGACATAATTATATATCATATCAGATATCAGGAAACTAACTGCATAAAGAAAATAATCCTGACTCATATTTCGGCGCTCTACCTGACTTAAGACGGTGATTTTTTAAAAAAATCTGGTTTCTCTTGGTATTTGAAAAATTCCGAATTCTAACTGAACTTAAACCAAAGAATAAATTAAAAATTATAGAGGCTGTGAAATTAAAAGACAATATTAAATTGGATATTAAAAGATGGTTTAAACATAGTAGGGACTATGAACCAAAATCTTTGAAAAACAATTCTGTATCCAAAAAATTAAAAAAAAACCTACAAGAACAAACTCATTTTCCCAAAAAAAAAAAGAAAAGAAAAGAAGCCTATAAGAACATACGCCCTTTTCCAAATTTAATAATTTATCTACATTATGAACATATTATAAACTAATACATTCCTTTTTATTTAATATTAAAAATTGATTTTAATATACAAGTGATAGCAGAGGGAATGAAGCAGTTAGCGACATGTGAAAAAACTGAAAAGGACAAAAGCAATTAGAGGGATAATTTCGCACAAAATTCATGGGTTAAAGTGCAATTTGATGTATAGACGGGAGGCATTTTAGTGCATTTATTGATTTGTTTTCAATAAGTGGTGGTTGGTTTTGCGAGGTTTGGGGGGTCTACATGTACCAAAATATATTTATATAGGGATTACTTCATTAACTATGGGTGCTAATAACAATTCTATTGGTGCGTAATTTTCATTTGATTACAACACAATTGTATTAAATTCTATTGATGCTACTTCTATATTAACTATTGTATTTTTTTGTCAACAATTCTCATACAATGTATCACTTACTACACATAAAATAAATACAAAAACTATTTATTTTTGATTTAATATATATATTTTTTCTAGATCAAAGAAATGAAAATATTGCCTCTCTTCAAGTTCGACAGCCATCCGCATCACCAATACTTTTGCGTGATCATGGTAAATATGCAGTTTTTTATATCATCAAAGATCGTGCAGTTTCATTTGTAGTACACACTCCACAAAATTTAACATAGTTAATTAAATCATCAATTTTGGCTTTCGTACTAAAAGTGAATTGGTATGAAAAGTGTTCGCACCTTCAAGAAAGATTATCAAATCGAATGTTTAGTATTTGTAAGTATTTCATTTTAACAACATTCAATTACATTCATTTGTAGAAATATATCATTCCCTTTTTTAATATAAATTTTAATTTTTTTTCAGGATCCATCTTTCGAAAAAAGACAGTTCTTGAATGATATACACATTCTATTATATTTCAAATTATTGTTAAACAGATATTACATTTAAATTAAAATGGTTCAATTTTTCCACCTTTATTTGTTCACCATTTTATTTTTTTTAATAATGTCAGCACCGTGCGTAGCACGGGTATTCACACTAGTGTCATTTTATAGTTGAGTATGGGATAGTGTTAGGAAATTGGTTTAAATTCTTTTAGGTAGATTTCTTATTTGGTGTGGGAAGTGACTAGTTTCCTAATTGGATTTAGTTACTTGAAGTAGTAGTCAAGTAAAGCCCTATTTAGCAGGAATTAGATGCTATTTCTATATGAGTTTAGGAAATAGTATTGGTTTCCAAATTGTTATTTGGTTTTTTTGGCAGTAATGTTCCCTATAAATAGGTGGGTTGGCATACACAAGACACACAAGACACACAAAAAGAAGACACAAGGGGCCTCATGTAGCCTTATACATGGAGTGTGAGAGAGGGTTTTTGGGAGATGAGAGATGGTATACAATGGTTGGATTTGGGTTCAAATTGTATTCTTGTATAGGGTTTTTCTCTCATAATAAAGAACAGGTTTCTCTCCGTGGATGTAGGCTCAATGATGGAGCCGAACCACGTTAAATATTGTGTGTCGTTTATCTTTCATGCTTGTGACTTGTTTCCTCATTAAATTATTGTGCACTTGATGTCTCAATAGTTGTTTATTCCGCGCCTGGATCCCAACAAGTGGTATCAGAGCTTGGTTGCGAGACTGGGCTGCTCAAGATTCGTAGTTGGATCCTAGTTAACTATTGAGATCAAGTGGATTGGTAGCTGTTACTAATTGAACAATTTAATGAGCGGTATCCTTATTTCAATGACTTGGCAAAAAGCATTGATGGTGAATGATGAAAAGTCGAAAAGTATGGAGATGCTTGACGGTGAATCTAGGCAGGTGATTCAAGAGTCAAGGAAAAGGTGGAGTCCAATGTTGATTTTGGACTTGAATCGGTGGAGACTTTCTCACATCTCCAACGGTTGATTCTTCATCCCGGTGGATTTTAGATTTGGGTTATGTTTCTTGGGTGGTGTGGCACGTGTCCCAAAGAAATAAGGAGATCTAATTTTTATGCGCCAGAAGACTCTGACAGGTACGAGTTTTTCGTTTTAGGTGGAGTCTTGGAAACCACATGTGGCGAGACAGTCCTGAGGATGGGAAGAAGTATGGTGACTTTACCACTTGATTGCCTCAGTGGTTGGGGTTAGAGCTCACAGAAGGGAATCCCAGATTGCAAGTGGTGGTGAGAAGAAATCCTGCAAAGGGAGACGGTGAATTGAGGCACCTTCTCACGAGTCAACTGGAGGTTGGACTCGGGGTAACTACACATGTTCATTTGCCGATTGAATCAATTTGATATCAGGACTGTATTGATTCGGATGTGTAGTTTGGTACCATATTATTTGGTAGTTGAAGGCAAATGGTTTCTAAAAGAAATTTTCGCCAAGGTGGAGATTTGTTAGGAAATTGGCTTAAATTCTTTTAGGTAGATTTCTTATTTGGTGTGGGAAGTGACTAGTTTCCTAATTGGATTTAGTTACTTGAAGTAGTAGTCAAGTAAAGCCCTATTTAGCAGGAATTAGATGCTATTTCTATATGAGTTTAGGAAATAGTATTGGTTTCCAAATTGTTATTTGGTTTTTTTGGCAGTAATGTTCCCTATAAATAGGTGGGTTGGCATACACAAGACACACAAAAAGAAGACACAAGGGGCCTCATGTAGCCTTATACATGGAGTGTGAGAGAGGGTTTTTGGGAGATGAGAGATGGTATACAATGGTTGGATTTGGGTTCAAATTGTATTCTTGTATAGGGTTTTTCTCTCATAATAAAGAACAGGTTTCTCTCCGTGGATGTAGGCTCAATGATGGAGTCGAACCACGTTAAATATTGTGTGTCGTTTATCTTTCATGCTTGTGACTTGTTTCCTCATTAAATTATTGTGCACTTGATGTCT